TGTGCCCATCCTCTACATGAACAGAATGAAGTCCAGCCTTTTACTAATAATATGCTCACTTTGCTTCTTAAGCAAGCCTGTAATTTGTGGCAGCCAGTAATTTGGCAAACCACAGACATTCATGGCGAGGGACATAAGGTCATAGCAATGACATCTTCAAGGCAGTGTTTTCATAGGGCAGACACTAAGGATTTCGGTAACTTCAAAACACGTGAGAAAGCCAAGGAATACCACTAAACACATTCAGGAGGGTTCTCAGGGATTCCTCCATGTGAAAAAATAAATAAATAAAATCCTCAAAACTAGCAAAATTACACTGAAGTGGCAAATGGTAGCTGATTTGTGAGTGTGTCTTGCTCCCGAGGTATTTCCTAAGAAGTATTTTAAACACTAAGGAAAACAATGGACTTCATCCTGGGTCTGAAGGAGCCAAAGCTACTATGAGACACAGCTACAATATCTACCATGTTGACAGGGAGCTCTACGTTCTCTTGTCTTGGCTTCATTCACGCCGCTCACGTTAGTTAGCTGTGAACCCGACAGCCGTGCTTTCACAAAGGCGCGCTTCCTCAGAGCCTTTCCTAGGTCAGAAAGACAATTCTGCTGGCATTCAAAGCATAATTTATTCTTTCCCTCTTATTCTCTTCAACCTCACTGCATGCTTTAAACCATTTGTCCCCCAGCTCAAGCCATGTGTTTTCTCATTTCCCCCATTTGTAAAACGCTATACCCAGGAGGTTGTAGCAAACAAGACCAAAACACGGGAGTATTTGATTAAGACAACTGCATTGTGGAACTAATTAAATTCATCTGATCTGGTTGCACATTAGGACAGTAAGAAAATATCATATATATTTAGTATCATATATTAGTATCATATAATTAGTATTATTAAGGGCCTTCATGTATTTTTACACTTTTGCTTCAGTACTTCTGCCTTAGGGTTTGGTTCTAATAATCAAGACACACAGGAAAATATTTATTTATAATAGAAAAAGGTAAAAAGAAATGTTCAAAACTAAGAAAATTTTTAAGCAAATTATGGCATACTCATATGATGGTCATTTCTAAAATGATCTTTGAATGAGTAAGTTAAAAAATGATCAGAATAGCTTGGTGAAAAATATAAATTATAAAAACTGTATAGAATATTTATTTCTCTTTTGGAATATTTATTCCTACCTTTGGAAGCAAATTGTTTCCCTGGTTGTATCTATTAAAAAGTTATATATATGCATATATAAAATAACGTGATGAAAATATATCTTTTAACTCAATAATCAGTTTCTTGTCATCTGAGGAAAACAGATACAAAAATAAATATCAAATAATGATTAGTAGTTTAGAGCTAAAATATTAGAAAACAAACATGAATATTTCATCAACCCATGAAAGGAAGAAGGTCACAAGTTCAAACCACAGTACAAAAAAAAAAAAAAAAAAAAAAAAAAAAAAAAAAAAAAAAAAAAAAAAAAAAAAAAAAACATGATAGGAAGCTGCTGAAGGTAGCAATGAAGACAATGTAATAATAGCAGAAATATGTACAACTTAAATAAAAGTGAGCTAAATCAATATTCATCAAATACAACTGCAGATAGAGAAAAATATGTTTGCCAAATAAACCTGACAAGGTATACATGAAAACAAAAGTGATAATGTTGGGGTGAAAGCAATTTGAGCTTTTACTTTTTTCTTTAGTTTTTTGAAATTTTTCTAATGTCCCAAAAATTTAAAAATATTGGGATCAAAGAGTGACAGGCAATGAAACACAAAGGCTCAGCATAGGACAAATGAGAAATATGATGAGAACCGGGGAGTAGAAGGTCAGTGCGGGGTTTCTCTGCTGACATGGGGGGCAGTTGGACTGAGGCGGAGTTAGTGACGAGGAGCTGGGACCCAGGGGATTCAGTCACCTTATCAACTCCGGGTCCTGGGAGCATGTGAAGTCTGCCCTTGGGATGTGGTGGTTCATCACCGGAACACACTGAGACTGGCAGACAGGAAGACACTGAAGTTAATAAGTTAAATACCTGCCAGTCAGACTGAAGTTGGGAGTCTTCACTTTCATCCAGCATTGATACGATGGACCTCTAATTTACACTAAGTGTAGAAAATAGTCATTCCCTAGATAATATATAAAGTAGATTAGGAAGAGGTCCCCACAGGTATCTAGGAATGAGAGGGGGAGGCATGGTGAGGAGAGGGAGGTGAGAGCACCAGGGGACAGCAGAGGAGAGAGATTAAAAACTGAAAATTTTGAGCCGAGTTAGGAAAAAAAATTATACTATGAAATACATATTCCCAGGTTACCAGAAGCAGAGTGAATTCCACTAATCCTTGAGGCTACTGCTATCATGCTAGAAGAAACAAAAAGAAAAAATTAAAAATCATACGTTAGTATTATATACTATTAACCTCGTTCTACTCAAAAGTGAAAGTCAGAACTGAAAATAGAGTAAGGAAGACATAACAAAAACTAACAATAAAATCCATTACCACAATCAGGAATTTTAGCTTTACATTTATTGAGTTTCATAGATGGCAGGTTCCTGCCTTTGATAGTAGGCATGGCCCCGTTATGATAAAACAACATTAAAATTAAATGTTTCAAAGCATTTGATAAAATTCAACACCCATTCATGATAAAAAACCCTGCAAAAAATTGGACTAGATGGTCTATACCTCAATTTAATAAGGGCTATCTATGAAAAACCATCAGCCAACATCATATTGAATGGCCAAAAACTGAAAACCTTCATGTTAAAATCAGGAACAAGACAAGGATGCCCATTATCACCACTTCTCTTCAATATAGTTCTGGAAACATTAGCCACAGCGATTAGACAAGAGAAAGAAATTAAAGCAATAAAGATAGGAAAGGAAGAAGTTAAACTGTCACTATTTGCTGATGATATGATACTCTACATTGAAGATCCAAAAAACTCTACCAAAAAACTTCTAGACTTAATTGACAGATTCAGTAGAGTATCTGGATACAAGGTGAATACCCAAAAATCAATAGCCTTCTTATACACAAATAACAGACACA